TTGTTTATTCAATGTTTACTAACACCACAGGTTTGAGAGTCTCGCAATTTCAATGCTACATACGTCCTGTACATTTGCAGAATTGACAATAAAGCAAACTTTGAACTTTGACTTTGAACTTTAGTTAGCGTAGCTTTGCACAGACTCTAAACTACGATCCTGGCTTTGTCCAGAGGTTAAAATAATCCACCCACCAACATTTATGCAGCTCATTGCTCATTAGATCTGGGTTTTGAATGTAGCTCAATTTCAGAGCACAGAAATGAGTCTGTAAGAAATGAACCTGAGTCTTTCAAACCATTCCTTTGAAACCTGTGACTGCTCCATGCTTACACTGCAGTGATTTTCCACTGTCTTGCATACCTGTTATATTCCATCACTCTCCCAGCCGCATTGTGGTTTCAATACTACAACCACCCAAATAATTGCCCTACCTATTATCACATACCAACGCAGGCTGATGTCAAGGTGGATGCTCTCCAGAAGTCTAAACCTGATTATTTGGCTTTTGTGTTCAACACTTTAAGGTGTGTAAACTGTTTCAACATCAGTCTGGTAAATCACAAATGTAAATTCAATCTTTCTCTCATGTTGAAGCTATAGTTTTTCATTGTTTTCATCAGGTCAGCTTGTGTTATTCATTTTGTTTGTATCAATTATCTCGTGTATGGTCTGCTCTGCAAGAGATATCAGTTACCATTCACACATGAAGCACAGAAACACCCATTTGAGTACAGTCCCCAAACAAAAACCTGTATTAGGATTCCTAGACATTGAGAGTGACTCCGAGTTTGCGGATATGAGGAGGATGCTTGCTGCTGATCAATTTTACAAGGTAAAGAGTGGGTGTCGCTCATTGTTTTTACAACAGCAACAAACAGAGGAGTCACTGAAGAGCAATGGAGAGAAAACTCTGAGCTCCCACAGTATTGAAAGCTCATTCTGAGAAGAGTATTAGCCAAACAAAGGATGGTGATGGACACTGACCCGTGAGAATAACATGGCAGGGGAGCCTACGTGCATGAGGGCACAGAGCGAGTCCGAGGCTCTCATTGTGAACATGAGAATTTAAGCTGCCTGTTGAAAATTAGCCTGCTCATACAATAATGTAAGATGAGGGAGCGTCTGACGTAATCTGCAATGCAAAAGACAATATACCCCATACATCTCCAGTGAAATAAACAACAAACTACCACAGAGGGTGTAATGTTCTTAATGGAATTATCTGAAATTTGGCCAAACATTCTCATCCAGATTCTTGTTGCAAGGTAGATGACATGATTAGTACCAGTGTTATGCCTGTGCTGAACATTTTATCTCATTATCTGGAGATGAAGCCGCAATATCAAGGATATGAATACGGAAATCTTGCACTGAAGATGTCATTAGGAGAGTCTGCTCAGTAGCAAACGAGAGGTGGAGCCTCGGTAGCGAGGCCACACTGATGCACATGCTCCACCAATCGTGAGTCAGTATCAGTTGTCAGTCATTACATTTCATAATGTCAAATTAGTCATCAAAACCAAACCTAGCAGGAGAACGTCAATGTCACAAGAATTATCGGAGATCTTTGAAAAAAACAATTGACTTGTCAGCTATTTTGACTTTTTAATCTGTCCAGTGTCCCTTCCATTAACTCTATGGTTGGAAATAAGTAAGAGCAAGCAGGTGTTTATCTCAGTGCAGCAGACCAAGTAGATGCAGAGAGAAGTGGCCAGCCTAGTTTTGGTCACATCTTGTTTGTATAAAATGTAAAAAACACATATGTAAACCTTTTTCCATTCTTCAAATAAGAGTTCTCTTACTTAGCTTTACTTTAGTCTAGTCTGGAACAGGAGCACAAACCAGTTTGTCAGCTTTGTCGAAAGGTACGATTACCCATCTGTCAGCACTTGTAGATCATATCTTGTTTATTTACAATTTTAGTGTTAGTGTGCATCAAACAACTGAGCTATAACATGTGTATTAGTTTTATTTACCATTGATCCATCTGCCTGTAGATTTGTACTGTATTTACTGTACAGGGGTGAGAGTTGTATCAACCAGGTCATTTAACTTTAAACAAGAAAGTGAGTTGTGAGTTTTTTTCCCACTTCTCCTTCCGTCACATTTCTCTTTGGCTGCAGGCCCATTTTTTTCAGATAAAGGAGGATTCCTCTTTGAACAAGGAAGCAAATCTTTCAGGATTATTGTGCACGGCAGAATTTATCAACAGTTAGTAATGCCATGTCCTATTTTTTTTGTGTTAAGCAAAGGCTTTGCCTAAACAGGACAAAACTTGGGACTTCTCGTGACTGGCATCCTGAGCGTTTGATTTAGTGCACAATACCATCCTTCAGAACATACGCCTTCGTCTTTGTCCCAGAAAATGTCTGTTATTGTTTTTGTTGGGCTTTCAAAGGATTTGAATGTTAGAAATTAAACATCAACAAACTGTGGCACTTTTTCTCCTTGTCTGCTTGCAGTTGTATGAATGCAGACGCTCTTCCTCTTTTACTATAACGATTATTTTGTTTCCATTCCATTGTAGCGAGAGGCGTGCATCACATGTAAAGGCATGATATCCCTTCATATTTGGTTGCGTAGAGAATGTAGACTACAGTGATTGTGGACAGGAAGAGGATACAAGGGAAATATTTTTTTATTCTTCTATATTTAAGAATTAGTTCACAAATTTCATATAACTCTTGGATAGAATATACATGCTTTTATTTTAGGGGTTTCAACAGGGTGGAAACATGTCTTGTTAACATTTATACAAATATATGACTGATAAAGTGTAAATGAGCAAGAAAGGACGAGAGTGATACCTGGACTATTGTTGTGACAATGTGTGACAGAGAATCCAAACTTAAATTTAAAGTAACTGGATTTGTTTTTATCTATTGATTTCAGACATTTGGTTGAAAATACAGTTTTTATCCATTTGGGGTCCACACTCTTCCGGAGTATTTCCCTGTTATATTTTTCCCAAGGTTTCAAAGGCAGCAGATAAAATATGAAGGGAACACATTTTGACAAATTCAACCCTCCCTCGCCTCTGTGCTTTCATACGCTGTGCAAACACACACATTTCCCTTTTGACTACTGGATTTATTTTCTTAATTTTTTTCTTTCATTCAGTCTGAGACACCTCCCCTCAATCCCAAACAAAAGGTAGTGCGTAGTTTTCATTTTAAACATTTGTTTTATCAAGCCTTTGGAAAGAAGCACTGCAGATCACAGGAGAGGTGAACTGGGGGGCAGACATGCTGAGTCACGAAACTGGTGAAGGAAAACTGGATCGCACATGTGGATCGATTCACTTATTATTAGAAGGCTGGGAACTGAAGATTGTGCACTTTTAAAACCATTTTAACACAAGATGAATTTAAGATCATTTGAAATAACATATGTATGCAGTATATTCTTATATATAAAAATGGAAAGATCATAAATATATACTAGTAGCTCAGAAATAAATATTTGTTTTACTTATTTGGCAATAATTTGAAATCCCTTATTAAATTCACAGTAACAACCAATCGCTTCATTAAATCAACACTTCTCATGTGAAATATGACAAAACATCCAATAAACCTAAAGAATGTATTTAAACCTTCTACTTCAATGCGACGTGAGTCATGTTACTCTAAACTTTTCAAACTACTGTATTAGATGCATTTGTAGATGCGCTGTAGTTCATTTGCAGGTTATCAGTTGGTTATCCTTCGACATGATCTATCTATATAAGAAT